TCGAAAGATATAGATCTAATTACCAATTGCCATATTGCTCTTAATTAATCTATATACAGAGAATATATTGAATTATGAAATGAAGACAAAGACATTTATTTTTGTTACAAAGATGGTGGCGGGATGTCCGATTGATCCGCGTTCCATTATGAAAGACGAATCACTTCTCTAACAAATACATTGAAATTTATATAAGAATATCTTTCACTGTTTATCGAAATATATATCAAGGGTTCAAGCACACCAATAATTACTGTTGATCATTGCTATGTTTTTTCACATGCTAATTTCTTCATATATTATTTTTGATATGCAACTTCAAAACGATTTAGGCAATTGTTTACATTTACCTTGTATTTTCTGTTTTAAATTCTCAGAATTCACCAATATGAATTAACTTGCTTGATTTGTTTTCAGAGACAACTATATAAATGTTCATATATTACCATATTTATTTGTATTATTGTTGTTTTTATCACCACGTAAGCAAGCAATATATTCGTTATTTATAATTATAAAACATCACAGCATGAGCAAATTATGACAGCCATACTGTTGTATTTCGTGTAACATATTGCGAAATTTGTACCATGATTTGTAGAACTTTCTGTTTCGGTATCCGCAAACCAATTTATTTTTCCTCTAATCGATTGATCGGTGTTTGCATTCCTCGTTTAATGGATTGATTTATTTCATTCTGTAAATTCTGATGACAATCGTCTGATATCGCGGAGAGTCACAGTATTCGTCATTCGGAGTAAGATTTATTCATAATCGAATACAGTGTACTGTGCATATTAATTCAGTTCAAATCATGCAGATAAATTTATTTATAACACGGGTTAGATAAAAGAAGTTGGTGGATGATGAAATCTTTCTCTTGGGTGACCGTGGATACATCTCATTATCATACGATGTGAGATCACTTCACATACTATTAAAACATTGATTTTTGTTCATTACAGTTTTCTATATCAGAATATATTGAGGTGGAAACTTATTCAATGTACAGAAACTATTTCATTCTGTTCTTGTTAAATAGAAATAATTCATGGAGAAAACCTCAAATCTAATCCATTTTTACAGGAAACGTGTATGAATTCAAAAGCAGCACCCTGCAAATTTGTTTAGAGTGAGAACGAGCAAGAAAGAGCATGGTGGAATGTTTGTGGGCACACAATGTTCAATTTGGAGATTGACCTTGGGTACGTTGCTAGTCTCATTACACGCGGCAAACCATACACACGTTTTCCTTCTGGTATCAAATGACGAATCTCTATTTGGGGTTTGTTTGTTTAGAAGTATGGGAGTAAACTTGGACAGGAAACAAACTTGGACGCCAATCGAGAAAGCATGTGGACTTATGTTGCGTTTATGTTGATGGTAGGATGAGCATACTGCTCTTTGCATTTCGTTGAACATGAAAAATACATGATTATAAGAAATGTATAAAATCAGTATGTTCTAAAATCAAAATCTATAAATTAATTCATAGAATCAATTAAGAATTATGCATTAATTAATAAAATAAATAGTTTTTTCATGAAAAATATTTTTTTTTCGATTCATAATGCAAGAAACGAAATGATATCCGAAAACTCTGATAATCTAAACTATTCCGTTTTACTCGTTCTTTTTCTGTGGGAGAACATTTTTATATAATATTCTCATCAATTTATAAACGTCAATGTAATTGTGAAATTTCGGTTTACGTTGAAAACATTAGTGGAATATCAATAGTTGTATGAAACAACTCGTATGTCCTTGGCCCAGGCAGTACATCAGCATGTACTATCACGTTTAACGCACGACGAAAAAAGACGCCATCTTGAAATATGATGAACACCTTGAGTCGGGAATATCCTGGTGACATTGATAGCCGTTCTACCCAGGGCGAATATATTAGTTTAAAAATCCAACATTTCTGTATATACGATAACAAATCTACAACTTCAGAATATGCAGGTTGTTTAATCATGAAATACAAAAAAAAAATCTGTATGTATTTGGTAACGAACGATATTACCAAAGGAATAGAGACAAATATAGGTTCTTTATGACGTCATGCTTGCACCCCATCCTACATTTTCTGATTTATCCGTTTATTTTTGTATATTTTTCGAAACATGCAGTTTTCTCAGCAAAATGTGAAGGCAAATGTACAACCTACGCTTCCAAACACTGAATGTGGATTTACATTGCGATGCTGAAGGGATCACATTATAACAAAGGCACAAAGTGTATATATATAAATTCTGTAATTGGAAAGCGAAAACGCAGATAAATGTGAATCTCTAGTGAATTGGTCATTATCTTTCTGACAACTAGGCTACTCGGACTCCCTAACAGGTGAACATATTACTTGAAAACTAAAGTAATCAACACTTGTTTTGTAGGCGAAAGGTTCCTAATGTGCAAATTAATTCATTAATGATTAAAATTAATTTTCTAATTTTGTGTGTATAGTTGGTGATAAGTACAAACTGTTGAGTCTGAGATGTTATGCTCGCATACATGCGAATGACGTACAGTTAGTATTGCCACCGACATAGACACCGTCGCGACAGTTTCTTGCTCACTCATGTACTAACATGTTGACGCATCAAATCGGCGAGACGTTTACATTACCAATCTGCGACAGAAAATGCTAATTAAACTCTTGTGTTCAAATGAACGACATCAATTGAGCACATCCAGATAATTTTGACTGTTTACAAAACGAGTGGATGTGAGCGTAACAGTTTGCCGTCAGAATTCGCCCTTGTTTCATCAACCGTGATACATGAAATCAGAATAATTCACTGTTGGACAAGGTGTGTTTTTATCGCGTAGGTAACCACCATGGCTGTATCGTCCTACTAAAATAGGTAAATGTTTTAACAAACGGAAGTGGGACAATGGAAACTGTTAGCTTCCAGTTATAAACTAATTACACTATGTTAACAGAGGCATAAAGGTGTTATTTGTGAGAAAGTGTCAGCCCTTTTTTACCACACACATCCACTAGGTAAATACTTGGCTCTCAGATCGTAGCAAGAACTTCGCAACTTCGCACATTCCAACAAATGTCTTCTTCTCTAGTGAACACGTCTGTCCACGAGTGCAAATTGCGATAACGCTTCTTTTTTTTTTAATAAAACACATCGACATCGAGATTTTTTGCCAGTAAAATGAAACCAAACAACTAGTCCAGATACCCTAGTCAACCATTTAATGAGTATAGTTGACGGCGCGATAGAAAACCGATCCCGGCGGGATGAAACGATCAGAAAACCATACCCGGTATGGTTTTAAACGTAATCGTGTACGCCATAATGCGCTTCGCAGAATGAGAAAGCACATTGAGACCATTCTTTGAAATTTGCCAGACAATGACATGGGTGTTAAACAGGCTTGAAAACACAAAAGGTGATAGGGGCAAAAACAAGCCCGTGTTTGCGCAAAGAGTCCAGTTCAACTTGCTAGTTTCAATTGCACTTTAAAGGTTCGTTAACCGGCAATGAAATGATATGCGGCATGTGTTCTCGCCTGTAACTACAAATGAGGAGCTGCAGAAAAGGAACCAAGGCGTGGAGTTAAATATGACACGGAAATTACACTGACTGGACGGATGAATCATGTATTTTCCTATCTACAATTTCACTGAGCGACCGAGTGACTCAAATTATAGAGTAATTTTCGCCGGGGCTCATGATAAATGTAAAATACAGAACAGCATCATTGGGGTGATGTAATTGCAAATGGGTTACAATTTGTTCTGGCAACTATTACGCAAAGGCGAACTGCTGAGACACCTCGTTTCAGTGCTACACCGAGCATATTGCACATTGACAAAATAACATGTGATCTCATTATTGTCAATGATGGAGAAATAAGTTTTTTTTTTATAGAAACATAAATCATTATCAAATATATAGTAACCAATTAACAGCAAGCAGTAAATTATTAACACTAACTAGGTAAGTCAAATTTGCGAGAAAGCTGAACTTTGTTGCAATAAAATGTAATCACGAATATGCAACTAAGCAACTGTATGTATTTTTGTTGTTGACGAAAATGGGCTTCGTTTTGACAAAAAAATGGTCCGCACGATGCAGTGCCTTCAAACCAAACAACTCATTCACTGCGACTCACGCAGTTCGTATTTTCCCCGCCGGTTACGCCGAGGCAGTGATTGTTTTGGTGAGCCATACACTCTAACCCAGTAAATTATAGACTCATACACGATATATTTATTCTTTCGCGGTTTCCTCTCCGCGAGTCATCATTTACATTTCTGAAAAGAACGACGACAACTTTGACTTGCAAAATGTAATATTGCCAACAAACCGGTAAAAAGTGTACGATCTTGACTGGCTGCCAAACTAATGTCGCAGTCTACTTCGGCTATAACAAAAATGCAGTGGGCAAAAAATGGAGCCAAACAAGATCGACCTTGCACTCAAAGCTGGACATAGTGATTGTCAAATGCGGGCCCATCAGGATATACAAAGCCGGTTGGTGACTGGTACTACCATGTTCAATATAATCAACCAGGGTCAAATCACATATCGCCACGATCAAGTATCACCCAGTATATTTACACAAACTGCAAGGTTTATTATGAGAAAAAATAGTGGATTGATATATTCGGAGAAAACTAATTTTTTAGGTCGTCCCTATTACATAACAAAGCCCATAATTGCACCGAAATAATGTATCAGGTTTTTCCACGGGCGATCGATGCCAGATGATTTCATCGAATTAAGAAACATCGACTATCCACTAGGAATGTTGACAGTCAGCATAAAGAAACAATGGAAGTTAACTACAACGTGCTTAATATAATTTCTTACAAAATTGGGGTTGCTTTGGCCGAATTTTACACCTAGACATTCAAGGAGTAATACACGTGGACTGTGTGGTACTTTTTAGTACCGCGACGCTGTCAAACTGTACCGTGTTTGTTAATTAGAGATAATAGACACTTAAGAATAATATAACGAATCCATATTTCTTACTTGGTGAACGAAGACATCTTTCGTGCCGTCCTCGACCGTTATAAAACCATAACCTTTCGCAACATTGAACCATTTGCATTTGCCGTTGCCTTCCATAACGACCTCTGCTTCCTCGTTCTTCTCCTCTTCGCTACCCAGTGTGTCTGCTTCGGTGCCATCTGAGTATTACAATAATAATGAAGCAAGGTCAGGTGATTGCAAAACAAAAACAAAAAAACATAATACCCCTCCCAAAAATGTGAAACTAATTCAATGAAAATGGAAAGGAACACAAATATTGCTAGTCTAGATTGCGACGAACCGACATGGTGGACGCACTGTGTATGGTGCCGCATTGTGTGCAGTACTGACCATCAGTATACTAGTAAGGACACGTAGTAAATATGTCAAAATCATGGTCACACATTCCATCAAAATCTCTATATGCTTAAAAAGTGTATAAATAGCAAAGGTCAAAGAGGTTAGAATTAAACAATGTTATATTTGACTTATCAATGAGTCTATGAGTAGAGTGTGCAGACTCGAACTCATCATATGTTTTGCCCATGAGTATGTATTGTATAGCCGACCAAAGTCGTCCATGTCATCCCATATAAAATGGTGAGAGTGAGGTTGGACGCAGGGCTGGGCTCCATGTTAGAATAAACAAAATCATCAACCAAAGTAAATTATGTTTAGGCTTGAAGGTCGGTCATGTACCAACCCCGTGACATTAGCGGAGCTGCTCCGGGACACCACTTAGTCAGTCAGTCAGTCAGTCAGTTAGTCAGCTACTAGCGCTTAACGCAGCCGACTTTCCTCTTCTCGACCTCCCCAAAATCGGAGTACGGGCTCCGTCAGGGACCTCTGTCCTATGTAGTCGACGAGTTGGTGTGAGTCACACACGTGGACTGGTTCAAACCAATCTAGAAAGAGCATTACTTCCGATGCGGTGTATATCCGACAGTGACAGCATTGGATGGCCTAGCATAGCTCGTACTTCGGCTGCACAACGACGCCATCATCGCCTTGTACGAAATAAAATGCAAGTTTTGTCAATTTGGCAGTCCGTCAAATGGTCAGAACCTCAATGGCGACCACATTTAATTTGTCGATGTCACTGGTAACCTCGTTATACAAGGTACACTAATAACGTAGTTCATTCATTGTGTTTTCTCTCTGGCACTTCAGAGGTCACCGTCTCCTGCAGCCCAGCATTAAATCAACTGTATATTCACTGGAGTTGAAATACGTAGTCATTAAATACAGCTGATCCATACATACCAACTAAGATAAACTATCGTAACGTCAGCGTCATTATCACGTTCGATTACTGTGACGATTGTCGACGCTAACTTGACCCTCACATCGAATCTTGTTATTGACAACAAAAGTCCACAGTCGGTTGAAAAGAAAAAAGTTACGGGGCGGGACGGGTTACTCGCAGAGGTTTAGATTAGCAATGATATTCAACTTTTAAAGTGGGTCAGTTCTACTTGGTTCTGAACTATTAACAAGTAGGTGAATGTGACTATAACCTGAGGATGAGGCCATTCTGTAACAGCCAGGCTGTTAGAAGGGTCCGTCTCCAGCTCCCTCCGTCCGCAGCAACCCCGGCGGCGGCGATGTTGCTCTGCTCCGGAAACACACTGCTTTCTTTCACTACCCGTAATACCGTATGTGCGTATAAGCTGGCCAGCGTATTGGACTGTGTGTATGTGTATGTGTGTGTGTATCTCTACCTCCGTACACGTGACCTCAAATTACATGGTTCCTTGGTGACGATTACCCGGTGACATTGACCAATCAGGACACAGATGGACTTGTCAGTTCGTACATTGCTCATGTGTTGTTCTAATTTGTCATTTATTTCAATTAAACGAGAGTCGAATTATTGTTAACTTAACTTGTGCCTTACTGCCTTTTGAAGGGCATGCCCGCTTTAAATGCCTCGTATGAATGGTATGACCTCCGGTCAACGGTTCAACCTCTTTTCAACGAAAAAAAAATACCGGGCAAAGGTCAGTGACGTTTATGTTTACGTTCGTAATTTGTAACGAATAACATACAATGGAGTCCTTGGTCCTTGAAGGTCACGCCATTGGGGCCCACTATCTCGACTATCCGGCCAAATAAAATTAACATGCTATTTGGCCCTAGTGCTGATATCAACGATGTACACCTGTAGACGCTTAACAGTTATAATAATAAACTTTATCCGTAATGAAAAAGGGACAATTTATCTATAGGATTACTTTCAAAAATATAAATCTATATTAATGGAATGTTCAAATATTGTATATGGCACAAAAAGCAGGATGGTTCAATTATTTTTATTTGTTTATTATGTATTCATGTTTCTGTTCATCGCGCGCGTCAGTTGAAAATGAGAACTTTTTTTTCTTTGTCAAGATTTCAGAAAAATGCAAAAAAAAAGTTATGAAAAATCATAATGAAAAAGCACAAAATTTTAAAATTAAAATATAAAAACGTCCGCAAATTTACTACTAGAAAAATTTTCCCTTCTTTTTCTTGTTTTCCTGGCCTTAGCGATTGGACAAATATATACTCCTGCCAGGCAACCTAATTCATGGTGGAATAGGTCATTCGTATTAGCATAGAACCATGAACTCTTTACTAGCAGCGCCCACTATGTTGTGGGACGCGTGACAACATTGCGTATGCACGGCCTGCTGTTGCCAGGCAACCTGGCTTCCAAGTGATGACAGTCAATATTAGGCACGATCACCGGAACATATTTTTATTTTTACGTACAGCGTTCTTGCGTTGCTAATTTTAAACATACATAATGGGCCAGTCTAATATTTAGTTAGTTTCACGCGCCGATTGAAACTGAATGAAAAATGATTTTTGATAGGATGACCACAGGTAGTAGTTGTCCGAAGCGGCAAATTGGTCGAAGCAATTATTCAAAGAGGTATAGTCGAATTCAAATCATTTTCAAGCTCATGATCGATATACTGTGTTTTTCTTTTGTAATCAGGTACGGGTAGTATTATATATGACCTCTACACCTCTTGGTACTTTCCTATAACCTCAGTATTTGTCAACATCTCAGTGGTTGCCATGGTAAACTGTTTTCGAAATTTCAATGACAATTGATTTGTTTAGTCTCTAGAAAATGTACCACAGTACCACAAACAATAACTTGAAGAATACTGGAAAATGCGAGCCTTCTTATAAGATTGTGTACGATTGGCTTCCCAGCCCTAACACCTAACATTCGGACCAATCAGAGAGCAGCTTATTTGTTGACAGGTTTTTACGCCGTATTAAATACTGCTCTGTATATAGGCTTCGACAGAACTGCAATTATGAATCTCAGCTGAAGCACGAATAGTCCTAGAGAACTTGAGACAGTTGACAACAATCTTTCTTTTTCCAAGAATTAAGCATGAACGTAACTAACTAGTTACAAAGAAAACTCACTACAAGTTCTTGAGATAATGTGCGTAAGTTTCTATCAAATAAAGTTTGTCATTATTCGGACTGTGAAATAGCCAGTCACTATGGGAACAATTCAAATTTCAGGAAATTCCTAGTGCAAGTGTATAACCTGTCTCCATCTTGAAATAGGTTATTTTTGAATGTATGCCACACACATGGACACTGATATATGTCTCATTTATCAAGTTGAACAACCCGTATTATAATTGTGAAGGAAAGATGTTTGTTTGTTGGCGCACAGATCTCGTAAACAGGTGTCACACCCCAGCAAAACACGTGACCCATTTACAGCCGTAATTCAATCACAGTTTTATAAACTTGTACTACTTCAAGTCTCAAAGCCAAATCCGGATGCCAATAATGTTTACAATGCGGTGACTTCAAAGCATCCCTTAAACATTTACGAGTTATTTTAGATCATGATGCATTCCAGTAGGGTCAGAGTAAAGTATGTAAGCCAGAATTTGATAGGTCGCCACACCCAGTAAGAAAGGTGTTTCCTGATTGGTTTGTTTGTTAAGTATTATGGCCGCCAAAGTATGCGTTGGAAGCACGTAATTCGCTATAATAATAATAATAATAAATAATTCAGCACAAAGAAAATACCACTAGAGTACAAAAACACAAAACAGCAGACAAAAAAACTGGATTACGTTATAAAATTTGAAAAAGAATTGTTTAACAGACGGCAAACCACACGATGGGAATGCATTTATAGAGATAACAGACTCTGGGAAGAATTGTTTCTGCTGGGATCCCCACAAATTTTGCGAATTTCTTGTTTTCACTTATCTCATCTATACCTTTTACTGTAACGTATTTTATCTCTTGGTGTTGGTTTTCATTACATTTCTAATCATATTACCTAACCGGCCAACCGAAAAATAATACTACATCGATGATTATAGAGGTGCTTTGAGAAAAAAAACTTACAAGACACATTCTAAAATTAGCTTATCACGAGTGGTATTTTCCTTGACCTTTCACCTTCATACGGGAACGAGCAACTTCCGGATAGTTAGGTCACGTGGGCACAGCAAATTTGTCCAATCGTTGAAATTTGATACAAAGTGAGAAAGGTTGTGGACCAAATCGTGCCGTCCGGTGTCATGCTTGAGGCGGGCCATGTCATTGATGGATTGTTTACTTTGTTTATAGCAATCGCCGATGCAATTAGTCAGTCAGTTATGGTTGACAGAGTGCTCAGATGCACCGAGTTTCACGTATCATGGCTGACGTACCCACTCAGTATTTTAATTTATTCCATTTTGTTTCTTTGCACATCATCATAATCGCTTTTTTTTTTACCTGAATACATTTATTTCTTGAAAACATTAAGTCGAATGACAAAACAATCTATCCCAATATTCATTGCGCTTTCGAATCGTAAAAGATTTTCTGTCGACATGTATAGCGTGTATTGTTAGGTTAGGTTATAATCTCAGTAATCTCAGCACCAAGAATGGGATTGTCGCAAATAAAATGGCGAATGTAACAAGTGAAAAAGGTGTTGCCAAAACAGTAGTTTTGTTCACTGCAGTTCCTGATTGTTGAAAATTTCCCGCGATGCTTCCCCAAAGAAACCAAAGTGACTGAGGTTTCAACATAGGTTTATAGCTTGGAATTGTTGCTGTTATAATCTCCACAGCGCCTTTACAAACAAACAGGGACGCCCCCTAAAGCGCTTGTTACTCATACTCGCTTTCCCCATAATGCAATGCGGAAGTGACGTCATTGTAAAAGTACCCCTGACGAGAATTCTCTTATCCGTCCATATATTTTTAAATACGTGGATACATATTAATTAAGAATGAATCTGGTAATTACGGGCATTACATCTGATTTCTTCCGAAATGCTCAACAATGCTCAAATAACAATTGTTTTCAATGGGTGTTTTACATATCACCAAATATGGACTATATATATCCTCACATCGAGTAAAATGTCAGAGTCAAGTTGAAATCTCACGAGAAGTCACCAGAGACACACAGACTGGGACATACAGACTCAGGTGTATGTCACGCTCGAGTATAGAGATTGTTATATTAAATAAATATGAATATAAATATAAATAGAATAAAATAAGTTAGGAAAATGAAATTGCGTGCATTAATATTCATCACTGAATATGCGATTTCGATTGCAAAGAAATAACGAGACTTCAAAATAGCGAATATACAAAGAAAGACTGTGTGCATCAACTTATCAGTGTTCTTGAGTTCGATATATGTTAGTATTTCATATGATAACGCTGTAATCGTGAGCAAAAAATATATTTATTATAAAAATTTTAAAGCGCATAACATTCAGTTTTTTAACAACTTTCAGAAATATTTGTAGCGTGTATTAGAATATCATAACGAAAATTTGAATTTCATTCACAATTAAAAGGATCCATTCAGTCCGAGACATATTTATGTGCATTACAAGAAAACGTTATCTGTCAAAATTCAAATGAGCTCCAATCATGCTCAATGCAGTTAGTCAATTCACGTCACGATGGGAGCCGAGGAAAGGGAGTATACAGTCGATCTGAACTGACGAAAGTCAGCGCACGCCCCAGGGAAACAAACCATATTCAGTGTATCCAAGGTGACACTTGCCTGTCTTTTAGGTAAATCGAAATGTCACCATGTCAAAGGTCATGAGAATACCTTTGGCACTTTTCATTGTTTTTCATTCAATTAAAGCCCTTCGCTCACTAGGTAGCTTGATGACAAATGCATTTGAGATGTGAATTACGCTTCTGTTTTATGGATTGCTAAACACAGAAAATCTATTTCTATTCAGTGCTTTCCGATTACAGATTTTTAATTTATCCGGGTGAAGTTGGAGGGCGGTTACTTCTGTGATTAACAAATAAATTAATACGAATAGTATTTCGATGTTACTATCAATCAATATACTAGCAGCGGAATTCGGATGTTTAATTCTTATTGTAATTGTTTGATTTTTTATTTTGTGAAAACTTGGGTGCTACTTTAGATTAGGTAGTAATAGCAATAATTTGCGAAGAACCGCGTTACATTCGTTTGACTTATTTGTTTATATGCGCGAGGCGGTGACCTACGCGTGGGGACTGTGGAACGAGCCTACAAGTTGCTGACGTAATCGGACAGCGTATGCAAATTATATTGTGGTACTAGTTCTCAGTATCTGGGTCTCTGTAACGCGACAAATACATGGTGTAGCACGCTACTTCTCAGTCTTTGTCGTCATCCTCGAAATCCATCTAGGCTACATCCGCAAATTAGTAGTTTGTTTTTATAAACATATATTGTCAAGTAGATTCGTTTTGATCTGGTCCCGGAATGGTGAACAGCGCCCTCGTCAGGGCAATGATGACAGTGACATTAAAGCAACTGATATGTGGCAAGCCTGAGGCCATGTGGTGATATATATGAATGTTGTGTAGTAGACAATACATTTCTGGTTTCGGTTGTCTTTATCTAGCAATTGTTATACCTTTCTGCTAGACTTTGAATGTACGTGCTTTTCTGTCGTCACATTTGCAATGCGCATGTGCAGAACATTTGCGCACATCTGTTTTACGTACATACGGAAACAGAAGTCAAGAACAAACGCATGATGATAATAAAAAACAAACCAAAGGAATAAGCTGCACACACAATGGCTATCGACAGTACAAACACAAAACATGGAGCACACATTAACAAAATTAAGAATTAGTGGCGATGAATGAAAATAGCAACAACAAAAAAATACCCAGAAGCGGTAGGAAGTAATCTGCGACCAGGATGAGGTTGAAAATCAGATGCGCTTTCTTCTCGAAAGCACGTTGTATGAGCAGACTCAAATGTTGAAGAATATAAATTTAACAACAAAATGCTAATGGAATGCTAACAAATAATAACAGTCAAGCGATAATCAAATTAGATATACCTATAACTGTTTCATTGTCAGACAAAAAAAAATTCCAAAAAAAAAAAAAAACTACCAGCTCCCCAAGATTTTTTTTCTATTATAGCATTTTCAGTTTCTTCATTTTTATTGTCACGTTTTTGAGTCAATATCCGATATATTAATATTGTTATTAATGTCATTATTATGGACAGAAAAGAAGTAGTACAGGGGCAACCAATGATGTCGATTTTTTGCCACATTTACAAGGAATTTAACATATGATACTACATCACAGTACTGAAGGTCCAGTCTTTATTTATTTATTTTTGCATGTAAATGACGGTATCACGATTAATTCAGACAATTCTGGCTAAGAAGCATTGTGTAACTGGAAACCAAGCACACTTTTTACTTATATAAATTACAACAATGCGTGAGCAGTCTGCCACTTTGCGTGAACCGTGCAGCTTTGTTGCTAACCCATACTTCTCATAAGCATTGAGGAATTTTTGCCATAAGTATTGAGAAACCGAACTGCGTTGGAAACATAGAACTCATGATTGCTAGAACGGCTGTACTACTTTCTTTCAAGTATCATTACGTGTGAATCTAAAACGAAAATACTACAATATTCCAGTTGAATATTAACGCGGAAGTTGACAACGCCGTTGGCTTTGGTGAGAAAAAAAAGTTACGCAGTGCTCACAAAGAATGGGGTAAAATATGAAAGGACGCCACCAATCGACGATTGTGATTGTATACGTGAAATATATCACTACTGCTATGATTGGCAGAATTATCGGTAACGATGACCTTACAGTAAACTCTTGTCGTTCCATCTGAGCATTCAACCAATCAGACGTCAGTATAGTAGAGACTCTGATATTACTTGAGTAACGCATTACCTACGAGTGAACGAGGCTAGCTCAAGTTAAGGGCTTGGTGTAGGTAGCTACAACAATTGTGGCGAAGAACGACAGGCGCACAGTTGGCGGGTAGAAAAGGTGAGTAGTTGCGGGTCGTAACCATGAATCTACCCCAAAGCAAAAACAACCAGAGACAGAACGCAGGAAAGCAAATAAAATTAAATCACAAATGTCGTGGGTTTTTCCTTATTCACAATAACGTCGGCAGTAACGGACTGGGATTTCAGCACTTACGGAAACCAGATGTTTAATAAGCAGAACTTCTTTGAAATGGGTGTCTGCGCCTGAATGGTGGACGGACGCTGCTTCAGTACATACACCATGTGGATTGTTCTTGATCCCACAAACTGTCAGCGTTTTATCCCCAGTCTGTGTATTAGTGAAAACAGAGAGTGTAACCTGAGCTGGAGCCGAGTGTATAGAAAGTATACCTACACATGTCCAAGTCATGTCGTTTTTGTTCATTATCCAGAAAATTGCTTATGACAAATGAGTGTAAATTAAAGGAAACTTGTTATATTATCGTTGCGGTTGTACAAATAGTCGATTCCCGAGTTTAAAGAGATCCCAACTACATCGGCGAGTTTAACATATGTTGCAGCTATCGGGTTTCACCCAGTTCTTTGCGTCTCAATTTAACGACATTCGCTTTATTTGCCAAGTTAAATGCATCATAAAAATACCATTTTCCAAAAAAAAAAAAAAATCTGTGGTTTGCAAATAAGAAGCGAATTCAGTCTGCACGGGTGGTTTGTGGGGAAGCTAAATTAGGTAAGTGTCTGTGTTTCTCTTTAATATTCTGATGTTTTTTTTCTTAATCTCCATAGCGTAAAAGCGAAAATAGAATTTATGTTGCTGAGTTTACGACAGCTAATGGCGTCAGTGCCGGCGTTTTTAATTTAACGATGTACCACTACGCATCCATGAAAAGACGAACACTTGCTTATCTGTGATGAAAGCTAGTCAAAATAAGAGCCTGACTGAATCTGCCAGTGTAATATATGTATTGTTGAATATTCAACCCCATTGTTTAATATCTCTCTAAAATAGCGAGAATAAAATACGCCGATTTTTAAAATTCGATGGCGGGTGATCTCTGATGTTTCACCGGCTAAACGCTCTTTACGATTGATGCAACGATCGAGTTGTCAGTTGAAAGCGACGATCATCATTATCACGGAGCTATATCAAATGTCTGATTACGCGTGAAACAAAGAAGAGCTTCTGGGATAAAATTAAAATCACTTAAATAGGACGAATAACTATAAAATGATTCTAGGTAAATGATTGTTATAATTTTTACATAATGGTAATAATAATAACAATACTAATAATCACAACGACGAGATATAAAGATTCCCATGCAGACAAGCAAACCATGCACGGAGCCTAATTAGATTAAGTTACATTATTCGACTTTCAGGGGTAGACACATTTACTGATTATTCGCATTAATTACTAATTATTGTGATAGTTTGTGTGAAAAAATGGAATGCTCATCAGATGTTTTCGGGGGATGGCGACGATTCGGGCAATGGGCATTAACGACAATAAAACGCCGAGCATCATCGCTGATACAGAACCCAGCATACCTGACGACTCGATTGATACGTTAGATGATTTGGATCTGTTGGGGCGAGCGGCGGCAGAACGAGTATTGTATTGAGAACTCACCTAAGAAAACCAATTTCTCTTTGTCCATAATCGTAATATCGTACTCTATGTCATTCAAATGAATTACCATACTTCGTTCCTTCATACTGCTCTTGGAGTTGCTGCGACAAATTCTCGAAAAATGCTCTTCGTTCGAGGACGCCTTTAAAGATTCCTACTATGGCCCGGATGAACATGATATCATTTGTATATCTATCATTTTGCATCATTTTCCAATCAAAATTGTCAAATCGCGATCCGGGTACGAGGTTTCCTCTAAGGCGTAACTTTCTAACCTCGTTCCCGAACTACTTTCTTTTGAGCAGGCCATTACTGTAACACCGAGTATTAACGTTGAATGGATTCAAATTTCCATATTAATGTGACGTAATTTGTGCAGATTATCTACCACTAATGCTGTCGCTAGATATAGCACAGCGGGACTAACAAAAGAAGCGAAATATGTTCCAAAATCTTGAGTTTTGTTCTTTTATTTGTCAGTAGCCTTGAGCTCGACACTTTTTTGGTTATTATCGTTGAAGCGAAACGACCCTGAGTAGGTTTGATAGTAGAACCATGTAACGAATGCTATGTTATTTATTCCCTTCATATATAGACGTGAAATTTTCCCTGAACTAATCCCGATGTGCCAGGATCCAACTTTATTAAGTGCCAAAAGTTCACCACCCATTCAGTCAGTTAAGCAATATAGCCTAAATATTGTTTCGACATGGTCCTGTCGCTGAATACGTGAGAGAAAACCCCAGTTACGATATCGAATCTTAGCTGGTATTTCTATTGTATATTACTCATATAAAGAGAAGATATGGACGGATTCGTTTTTCTGGGCATGGCGCCCTGTACTGACTTAACGTATTACTTGAAGTGAAACCTGACGAGCCTGCCGGCCCATGTTTTAAAATTTACTATAAAATATCGAAAATGAACTTAAACACCCCCGAAGTGAAACATACTACTGATCACAGGGTTTATATGGGGGCAGATCTATCGCTAATGTAAATGAACGACAACATTATATGTTACTATGGTAACGCTAAAAGATACATAGCTATGACTACCAAGTTGAAATTGTGATATCAAAGTACTAATAAACACCTGGTTCGATTGTTCCGAACAAATGTAGTAAAAAGTTCAATATCGTATATATTTCATTTTATGCGTTCTCTGAGCTGTTCGTTCAGTGTCATGTGCAACAATGATCATCATTTCCCGGTTACGCCGGCTGCGTGCACTCATTGGCTGGATTGATTGAGATGAAGAAATCTACAGCTAAATTTATTCCACTTCGCTCGCTCAATGGAAAATCGAGTTGAAATTGTAGGTCAGGGCTTGCCCTCCCACTCTCAGAGACTGAATGAAATCCAATGAATTCGATTATTAAATACACGAAATTAATCTCGAAGCTGATCACGTGATTCCATACATAGACCAATTCAGCAAACGTGTTTTTAGTATTAGATAATTCTTTTCGATTCTAAAAATGGACATATGTTTTCAATATTATATTACACTTATATAATTGATGTTTAAACTCTGGTCATTATGTTCAAATAGTATTTCTATATAAACAATATTTGTATTATATTTGTGTTTTAACTTGATTTTTTTTTATCTGTGTTTGTCGGTGTTAGTTTGTTTGTAATTCCTATCTCAATTAGCTTACAATGACATTTTTTGCATGGAAACAGTTAATATCATAATTCGTCTTTCCAATAATTTTTATTTAAATATTTCGATGTTGAAAATATCGTTTTCACCACACTCACGCCGATCTTCCCATCATCCTGAAGACAATCGGTTATTAGTATCCATGTCACGTTGTCTATAGTTGTAACGGCATCGGCGACCAACAGGGTAGCATTTCGCCCATTGAGAAGACACGTACTACGCCTCGTTCTGGATGCGTTGTGACGTCATATCAATGGAGTCTATATATGAAATCTTGTCTAATGTACACTCCGACCAACCAAAAGACGATACACGTTTGTGTCGAGTACGTGATACAAATAGTACGGAACCGAAATCAGTTGCTATACTTCCCACAAAACAAAAACAAGCGCTGTTTCCGTGTATTAGAATACTTCGTTGAGATAAAGTATCCTCTTAACGCGCTTGGCATTGTGGGTGTGTGTGACTTGTACTTTGTCTCCGTGTGCATCGCCTCTTTCTAATAAACAGTGGTATTCACTGCATTTCGAATTGTTTTCAGCACGAACACCAGGATCGCACGCTGTTTGTGACGTGTCCAAAGTAGTTCCATCCATTTGAATAGTTGAGGAGAAGGTGTTACCGTAAGGGGGAATCTGAACATGAAAATTTATTGAATATTACAACCATCTATTTGTATCGTAGAATTTAGTTTGAGAAATTCTCAGATCTTTTTGTCACTGAGTTAACAAACATTCCCTTTGTTGTCATTGTATATTGTAATGATTTCCAGTAGTTCTATCTGAACCAAAGCGACTTTTATTTTAATTTAGTCCGTGGCATAGATTCAACTTGTTCTTATATAAATTGCGGTTTGTACAATTTCGATTCATATTGAAAATGCGAAATTGGTCTGCATCTGGGTTTATTTATTTAATTTCATTTTTTTAAACAAGCACAAAACGAATGTTGATAGAACCACTACAGTCTTTGAGAATTACAATAAAATACTAGATAGAGGATGTTGGTCTCGATTACCCATTGTTCCAATGGCTCCATACTGCCCGTGCTGCAAGGGGGAGCTCGGTCGTTCTTTTTCAGCTACGCTGTTTTTTTTTCCCTGAAGGCAAACGGTTTACTCATTAGGGATGGTCTGTAAAATTGGGTGGTGCCGTATTAGAGATAACGCATTATGCGAGCAGAATGGAATGTCTCGCGATAGCTTGATTTACTGTGGAATTGTTGCAAGTTGATGAAAAAGCCTGAGCTGTGAAGCAGAAACAAAGAGCGCTTATCACCACTGAGGTGAAGCAGAGTTGCACGATGAGAAGTCCCAGACGAGCGTTTCCCCGCCGAAATCAACCTTGGATGGCGGCACGTTACCTAGTCAAGCATACTGTTCAAAACAATACTGAATTCCCACAATCAATTTATTAGTCTCGAAATTAGAAAGTCAATTTATTCCGTCGGTAGTTTTGTTGAATTATTTAAGCAAATAAAGTTGAGTTTCGCGTCATTTAGGACTTTTATGAGAAATTATGGAATTCTGACTAAAGTGCATTTTCGTTTTGCGACGATGGTGTTGTCTTTATACTAAAGTACAAGCAAGGAACTACAATGGCAGATATCAACCAATCAAGTCAATGGGAACATGAGAGTACGATATCATTACAACAGAATATCATTACAACAGGCGAGAGCGAACAAGAATAGAATCTCTCGTAAAGAAAAAAAAGCCGAAATTCTGCATCAACGGTTTCAAATAGTAACATCTTAAGCATGCATACCATCACGTAGCCTATATCAACTTAAACCGAGAAACTTGGACATTTTAAAATTTCCACGTACTTTTTTGTATAGAGTTTCTCATCGCTTAAGCTTTCTGGCTTGAGCGGCGAATATAAATTATTGAAACATCAACGCAGCTCACGTGCGAGATACTATGCATTAAAAGATATGGAATTACAACCGAAAAAGAAATCATTTTCTCCGCAAGCGAGAAAGCCAGATATTTGTTTTGATAAAAACAGAAACTTCAAGCTATGTAAATGATCTGTCTGAGTTGCGTTTTCTTGCGTAAGAAAAAAACGTTGTCCGCCGGCACAAACTATCTACTACTCGGAAAACGCGCCTTTTGCGGGGACGACAAATTGTATGTCGCCCGTTAGAAATGATCGCCCAAACTGTGCTATTGCGGCGATACATATATTCAGTACCCCTCCTCCTACCCATAAACAAATAAATTTTCTTCAAGATTTAAAAAAAAATAGTATAGAAACATGTGATAATCACTTGGAGGATATGAATTCAAGTCTGCTTTGACATATCTTGGAAAAACCCCGTCCTCAAATAAAGCCGACAGGTAAAACTTCGTACGCCTTCTGTCACCAATACACCGAGAGTTAAGTATATGAAACGTCACTATTTCATTAGAATTGTGTCATTTTTGCATCCCATCGACACTATTTTGAGGAGAAAGTGTCAAAATATGACAAACAAATATAATGGAATATCTTGGCGATATTTCAGTAGCACTGTAATAGTCTGTAGTGTTGGACAAGTAATCTGCTTCAGTCGAGAAACCCATGCAACGGTAGACTGTCCATTGTGTAACAACCATTGTGTTAATAGGAGCAAGTCACTTGCGCCGTCAGAACGCCGTTAACGAATTAATTAAGTCACGTGGTACGAACAAAATTACCAAGAGTTGGAAATGTTGCCAAGTTGATACAGAATACACCCATCGTGTTTTCAATAACGAATACTCTGTATAAATCTGTGAGTTTGTCCTTAGAATAAGACTAACGTTTTCATATGTTATTTTTTTCTCTGAACACTGGTTCCGTAAGGTACCGAAAGTGTCTTTGCAATGTCCAGAGGTTTCACGAAAAGGTTTATGGGTTTTGATGAAATTTGAACAAAAAATACCACCCTCTGGTGTGAATCTATCGATGGTTCCGTTTAAACGAGACAAATTTAGCTAAAATCACATATTGGTGGCTCGTCTAGCAACCCACGCATTGTACACGTGCTACAGAAAACCTCTCTCGATGCGGTTTACGTGGGAGGCTGGAACCGCAGCTCAACGCGTCAACAGCGCAATCTCTTTCAACAGCTGAGCCCCTTTAACTTAGTCTTTGTCCTTTCCATACACTTTTCCCTGCTGTAAATTATAGGTCCGTAATTTTCCACCTAAGTTTGCTCAAATTTTCCACTTTTTGCGAGAAATTTAGTTTGTTATTGACGGAAGAAAGTTCCACAAAAGTTGGTCTCTGTTGCGAAAAGTTCAGGATGCAAGCGTTTCATTTAAACGCGCGATGAAGAAACGTATCTAGCAGACGACGAATTTGGGCTCGATTGAATCCGACTGATTTTTTCTGTAATTAAGGGGTCCAAATAAAACTAAAGAAGCATTTTATTTTTGAAAATCTCTATGAGCGGCAGGTGCCGA